AGACAGCACGTGGCTGATGTCAGACCTCCCCATCTGGAAAAAAAATAACACTGAAAACAGTGTAAATCTTCCCAATGTGCACAAGGTCGCTCTTCCACCTGATCCTTTTCAGCGACTCATCTATCACTCCATCCACTCGCCAGCCACGGAGAAAAGAACAAATCCCTGCCAGTCCAGAAAAAACAATTAAAAAGAATTATCTCGTATAGGTCCAGTCATAGTTTTGTGAAAAGAAACTTTTTTGGGTACAGTGGTTTCAGAGGTAGTAACTAGGCACAGACTGAGCAGTAGATGTCTTAGACAGCTGGGGTCCATCATTGCACCACCAAACTGGGGGTCTGTGCCATCTACTCTCAATCCTCTGTTAAACAAAGTGGTCTTTGTAGGTCACCCGAAGAAGTAATGTCTTTGTATCTATTACTTAGTCCTATTTGGTCCATTCCGTGGGTGCTTCAAGTGATCTGAATTGAACTCTTCCTGGGTGTGGAGGTTTCCCGGCACCACCAAACGTCCACTTCCTTCGGGGTTGATCCAGCCGCCAGTCAGGTGATGGGGGGCCTCGGCCAGGGACAAAGAGACTGGTGGCATCTCTGAGAAGCCTCAGGCGAGCAAGGATGGGGAGCAAGGTAGACTGATTTTGAAAGGCCACATGGAGATGTGTCACACAGCTCTCTTGGCGCTTAAAAACCCTCATAAATCAACAGTGCTGGTCAAAGGCATCTTCAAGTCATGGGTATGATGTCTACTAGACATAGAAACTATGCTAAATGATAGGTCCTATAAAGGTTCTAGACTCCAAATCTGTTCTGTAAGTGGAACATGGGGTCCATGTGGGTAAGAATCATTGCGTCAAATAGTGGATGGGGGTGAACTATGTTGAATCCTCACACTCATCTCCCTAAGCATGGTACATCTCTTACATCCCTCTAGGTCGGGGTGAACCTCCACTGACACAGGTGAGGCAAATACTCGAACGTGGGCCTTTCGCAGTCTCGAAAATCGCAGGCCCACCCCCTGCTTTCTCTCTTTCATGCCACCTCTCACAAAAGCGCACCAGGGATTCAAAGTTTGAGCTATCTTAGCAGAAACTCAGTCTAAACCATAATCGCCTGGACAACAGATTGGAATGTCCACGCCAAACTCCAACAACCCAGAGCAGCAACTTGCAAGAACCTCACCACCACAGCAGAAACTTTTGGATCATCCACACCCCTCCACACTCCTCCACACTCCTCCAAGGCTCCTCAGGGAATTGGGAAGGGACACTAGGCTGGGTCCCTAAATCCCACCGGCAGGTCTGAGCAAAAGGCTTGGCGTGACCGCGACAGTGGCGGCGCTGAGCCGGCGAGACCACACGTTTGGATGGTCTTGCACCTTTGGTAAGTCTGTCCTTTCGGGGATCTTCCGCCTTTGGGGTCTCTTCAGAACTTGCGTGTCACGAGCCAGTTCTTCAAGAATTAGAATTTTTCTGAAGAACTTGCGTGTCTGGGTTCGTGGTCCCCAGATACTTTTTCAGCTCCTTTCAGATTCTTCTACACCTGCGGAAGCCCAACCCTCCCCCCCCCCCAGGACCGGAAACAGCCGCGGTGTCCACGAGAAGAACCACGCGGTGTCCAACCCCAGCGCACCAGAGTCACCACCACGTGCGGCTCCTGGCAACGGCATGTTCGCGAGCCACGGGGTGTCTTTCTCAGTCGATTCGGCTGTCGATCTGAATATTCTGAATTTTAAGGGACGGAAAAGACCCAAAGCTGCAGCACATGGCTGCCATTTAGCTGGTGTAATCACCAGCTGTGCAGGCCCTCCAAAAGAACTTTGATGAGATCAGACACTCTCAAATCCCTTCATAAAGATATATAAAGAGAATCCCTCTGAGAAAACTGGGGACAAAGAAAGGTACAGTACCTGTCTCACCTGGTTAGTCCAAACCCTGAACATAATTCCTGGGTGAATTCTTTCATTCGAGCAAGTCCTCTCAGTTCTAGCTTGGAGGTGCCAAAAATTGCCCTGGAACAAAAAGAGAAAAGCACCGAAAAATAACCCCTTGCTGCGCCCATGCCGCACTGGCGCGCGCCCGAAAAGAAACCGTGGCGTCACCTTGGAAAGCGAGCGCTGCTGAAGCCGCGACGGGTTGCAGCGTCCTTCTGCAAGTCTCGATCAGGAAAAAGACCATCGAAGTTTCGGGCCAGTCGCCTAGAGGTCCCATCGAATGGAATCAGAGAGAGAGTTCCTTCACATGCTCCTTTTTACATGCCCTGGTGAAAAGAAAGGGATGCCAAAACCTGCCGGAGTGTGTCTGTATGTGTGTACTGTATGTCAATCACCGTTGGCAAGGCCATGTCCAGCTTCCGAGGTCGTTCCACTAAAAAGCGGATCAAGAGCTAGTGCATCTCTACCACCAATCACCCTCTTCCTTTCGCTTGTTCTCTCTTGGTGTTTCCTTTCCCTTCGACCCACGCCGTTCTCGCCCCGGCGTTCTCGGGTTCGGTGGACTGGTCGAACGAGTTCGGAAACCGACCCATCACCAGCCCGATGGGTCTCCGGAGATCACCAGGTGATCACCAGAGAATGACATATACATATATATATATGTATAATTACCGTATCACCAGCCCTCGATGACCAAGATGAGTTTCATTTTGTTGTCGAGAGGCAACAGCCCTGCAGGTGGTTAACTGTGCAACCGCCTGCTGGGCAGAAGTCTCTTGAAAGAGCTGCGCACGCAACCGCGGCACACAACTTGTGCCAGTTTCCTGCTTTGGAAACGTCACGGAACGTACACTGATGGACATGCTCTTGAAAATCTAGACTTACCTGGAAACCAGGTGCATCTAGTTCTATTTATGGTATATTGGACATTCCACTTGGCATCTGTTGTCATGAGGAAAGACTTGGAAAAATGCCTTTCGCACACTCAAACCAACCACAATAGCAAAGTGGAAAGACCACCGAATTTCTGCAAAACAGGGTCTGCTACTTTGAGGATCCTCTCCCGTTGGTGATGTCGTAGACTGAACTGACTGCAGCAAACGATGTTTGGAGCGCAAGAAAAGTATAGTGAGCAGCTCTTCAAAGCAGCAGACCCAGCAAAATGCTCAGAAAAAAGGCGCAAACGGCCCCTCCAGCCATGTGTTGCCATCGTCCCTTTTAGACAGAAAAGAAACTCATGGGCCGGTTCCACTGAGCTCTCCACACGCTCTCCTGCAAGAAAAAGACACACGATGGGTCTGACAACGATCCGGACAAAATCATCCAAATTTGCTGGCGCAGCGGCGCACAGCACGATCCGTACAAACAGATCCTTGCATTCAAGCCATCCGGCCAGAACTGCCCCAAAAATCCTTTCCAAGTCACATGCAAAAGCTTGCCATCTAATGCTACTTTTGCCAAAAATCATGTTAACCACTCGATTCTTGGCTCAAAGGTAATCCAAAAAACAACAAAACACCTCAGAACTCCGGAGTTCGCACCTAGGCGATCGGCCGTAGGCGTCGTAGCAGCTCGCGGCCGAGCATTTGCCTCGCGCGTCCCCGGCGTCCCTCCGGTCTGGTGGTGGAACGATGAAAAAGGCCATTTGGGAGAGCCTCATTCAGAACTAGAGTCTTTTGTGAAGCAAGCACCCATCTTTTTGCCATGTTCGTGGAAGAAGGAGTGCTGGTTTTTCTCTTTCATGTGGGAAGTTTACATGATTGTTCCAAAAACCGAGTGATCTCATCACAGTGGATCATTCTTTCAGTGTCCCCGATCCAGCAAAGCAAGTCTCTTGCCATTCGCAAACTGGAAGAATTTCAGAATCATGGTTTGATTCACAAGGGTCATTCTGCTTGGAACCTCCACCAAAATTCCGAAACCCACCCGCCCACTGTCCGATCTTGCTCTTAGCCTTAGCCATGCTCGGACCTTCGCAATACCGCCACACCTGGCCACACCCCTCGAAGTCGAAAACCGGCAAAACCTCCCAAAAACCACTGCGTGCCTTTCTTCCTGTACACTTGGTGATCCCAGAATTGAAGAATTCTCCTGGCGAAGCGCGCGCCGAGCCCGGACCGTTGGAGCGGACCGCGTCACGGAACTCGGGTCGGTGCACTCGGTCGTGGTGCCACGGTTCCTGGAAACAAGTGCCTCCCTACTAGGAACAAGTGCAATCGCTTCGTTCGTAACAAGTGCCTTACTAGTAGGTAACAATGTTAGCTATTAGAAACAAATTGTTTAAATTCCTTCTTGAATGGCCCCAATTTGGGGGGCTCGCTTGGAAACTACGTCGTAGAAGCACTCTTCAAGACAGAGAAGACACAGAAGCAGGACACCAGGAAGACACCCGGACTTGTCGACAAGTACCCGCAAATACTTCATTGTAAGAATAAGAATTGATGTCAGTGTAGTCGATTTCACATGATTCCGGCTGAAACCGCATCCACGAAGCCACATACATCCAGGAACCAGATCTATTCTAGCCGGAAAGTGTACCTTTGATGTACAGTACACCCACTTTACTTTTGGTGAGCCAGAAGTGAAAGACTTCCAGTGCTTAGAAAGATGTCCATGGCTAGGAAGGTCATGGCAGGTTCTTCAACTATGCAAAGTCCTAGTAGCAATCAGCAAACAGCTGCAACAGGATTTCAGGTAGGATACACTCCGACGAACACCGCATGGCCCCGAAAGGAAGACGTCGGGGGTTCCCACTTCCGCTTCGCGAGTCGGTGGGTGTGGGTCGAGTGAAAGTCAAGCTCGCTGTCTCCCCTACGTACGTGCGGGAGAGCAAGTGACGCCTTTCCACGTCCTAGCATGAACCTGGTCTCTCAGCACCTTGTCTGGTGGATTGTGGCCAGTATGTTTGCTCCTTTTTGGGCTAAAGGTGCTTTTGTAATTGGCATCAGTCTGATTCCGCACGTGATTCTAGTTGCAAGCAACTTGTGACACGATCTTGCCCATGGAACTCGCTGGCTGTCATCTGCGATCCCATTCATCCCCGAGACCCCCGACCCCCCCTGAACGCATGGTCACCCAGTTTCACTGGCCTGTGTGCGTCGAATGAGATAGGGCACCACTTCATCCACTGGTCCATAAGGGACATACTTGTAGGACCTGGCGCGAGCGATTTTACTCGAGACCTCACCCTCAGACCGTGCCGCAGTCGGCACTTGGGATGGAAAGGCTCCTTTTTGACGGGACGTCTAGCCTTTCAAAGCAGCGCGATAAAACCCAAACGGGACATGGAGAACCGACCCATGTCCAAAACCAGTTTGCACGTCCCCCAACACTTTCCAAAACCAGGGTCACCTGGCTTCCAAAGCCCCTGCACTACTTATGGGTTTCCATTAGACACCCCTGTCTCGACGGCTCGAGTCGAGTCGAGAGTCGAGACGACGGCTCGTGCGCCTGTACCCGTAGCGCGCCAGCCTTGGACGTGAAGGCTACGAACGGCCCGCCGTTTGGCTGGCAAAGATGGGCACAGCGACTTTGGTTATAGGTGTGCAAAAAGAAAGGAGCAAATCTTCTGGATGTCCTTGAAGCAGCTCAAGTTTTGACCCTTCCGCCAGGTGAGCAGGTGAATTTGGGCCAGTCAACCTGTGTTTGCATCGCGTGTCCTTGGGGGGGTGCGGCTTGCTGGTGTGTTCAAGTGAGACTCGTGCCAGCCAGGTCATCTGTTGCCGAATCTAGCCAGGTCCACCATGCCAAGCAAAGGGATTTGCGAAGAGATAAAGTGGAGCATAGGAGCGGAAGAATATGTTGAAAGGGATATTGGACCAAGACGTGATTGTTATGACTGGATTCCTCTCTCCAAAGCGTGATCATCCCTCGTTCCACCAATTCCACACCTACTAGACCTACTGTTGGCTAGCTAAGCCACACATCCAGGTCCTATCTGCTGCTGTTCCATCCTCTTCCGTCAGACCGTTCGACCGTTGAGTCTGGCTTCAGCTCCGGCCAGGTGACGTGTAGGTGAGATGGTCCGCCATGCCCATGAGCTGACCGAAGCCCACCCGATCCTCGCGACTGTTCGGTCGGCTGTGGCGGCGGTGTACGGAAGACACCGGCATCCAAAGGCAATATGTAGTGGGCAGGGTCGGTATTCAGGTGTTCAAGAGACTGCACTGAACATGTGAAAAAAATGTGAAAAAGTTATATAGCTTTTAGTTGGGACAGCGGAGGGCTAGTTGCTGTTGGTTTGGAGGGCTAGTGGAGAGAAAAGCTCCCAAGCAAAACGAGAACAAGATTTTCTCGATTGACATTGTAATCCAGGAACAGTGACACCCTCAGGAAGTCAAACACACCCCTGGGTCCCCAAAATATGTGTACTAATAATAATATTACATTATATTAAATATAATATATATGTCGCACCTGTGGATGGTCGAGACCCATCTGAAAGAACGCTCTTCAAACCGGATTTCTTTGACATTCTTGGACCATCCTGGAATTCTTCCACTCTTGAGCGTTGTGGGATTTCTTAGGCTGCAGAGAGAGCCGCAGAAAGAGCCAATGATCGGGATCAACCGAAAGCCCTACAGATCCAAAGATCAACATCTTGACTCATAAATTCATAAAGACTATAGATCGCATACTGGATCGCATCAAACTAGTACATCCAACATCTTGACTCATCTACCAGGACCCTCCTGGCCATCGGCTGTTTGGAGACCCGACACGTGGTATACCAGGACAAGTCCGTGCGGTTGTCACCGGGTCGTCGGCCCCGTCTCCTGGGCCACACCCATCTCAGTCATCTTCTGGATGGTTCGCTCCACCGAGTGCCGATTGTGGGAGGCCACCAGCACCTCGATGGAGCGAACGTCTCGGAGACACGACGGAGGAGGAGGAGGCGAACCGTCGCGAGAGGACGGACGTCTCCGGCGGGTGACGCAGACGGTCACGTCACTGCGTTGGTGTTTTTGGACCTGATCGTCCTTGTCACGGAATCCTTGAGATTTGCTCTGTGGATTTGCTCTGTGATGCAAACCTCTGAGAGTTCCAAGGAGCGCTTTTGGGGGGATGGTCAGGGCTTTTCGGAGATAGCTCCGGGACCCCGGAACCTCTTTTTGTTCTGAACCAAACATAGATTCTGTCCAATCCTCATATGGCTGTGGGTCCAAACTGGGATACTTTGGTTGACCTAGACCAGGGCTCCTGGCTCTGACCCATCCGTATGTGGCAGTAGGGGGATAGCATGCCGCTATTTCATCCTGGTCCGTCATCTGGCGCCCTTCTCTCTGCCTCGGCCGCAGCACCTCCAGGAGAGGCCTGCCCAGGCTTGCGAACATGAAAGCAAAATGATACAAAATAAGGTTGTGTTTTACTTGGTAACTCTTCCATGATTGCGTCACCCTTTGTGTGAAAGATCATTGAAAGGCAGCGAGAAACTCCTGACTTTGTGACTTTTCACTGACAGATCATAATTGCCGCCTTCGCCATGCGGCTCTCTTAACAGTTCCGCACACAACCTCTCAAAATATAGGAAGCTCTTGATTGCCTATCCACACACCACGCCGCTGGACCTCCGTCTTGTCCTCTCCATGGGCCAGGATGCAATCGATGGCTTGGTGGAAGTTCTCCTCGGTCTCCTCGTAGGTCTCCTAGGCGACACGCCGACGCTACGCCACGACCACTGGCCGCGGACGAAGTTCCTCCGGCGGAGGCCCATTCCGGTGACTTCGGGGCTTTGGATGCAGCTCCTCGCAAGATCTCTTCATGTCCTCATCAACCATAGTATGTTCCTGGGGCATCCAAACTGTTTCACCTTGATGAAAGAGGTGAAAATAGAACGTTGGAGGTCCACTGAATCCAATTCCCAACCTCTAGCGATGTTCGTCCAGATCTGGTGCTGAAGGATATGTCCCTCCCCCATTGGTCGAAAAAAGGATTCGGACGATGTGCGCACTGCGCTGCTTGCGCCAAGCTGCGCAGATGGGCGACTCCAATCCACGCTGGGAGGCTTTCTGTCGCTCAGAGACCATGTACCTTCTGGATGCCGAAGAAAGACAAGAAAATGGAATGGCGGAGATGGCACCTATCCTCGTTAGATGGACAATTAAATTCACAAGCCAATGGATATTCGATCGAACTCGTAATACAAGGCCCACCAACCAGCCAGGAAGGAGGAAACAAAGACTTCGGCTGCAAGTCTGAAACCAACCAACCAGACAAACCACCAAAACATTGGATGCTCTGTGCATTAAAAATCTCGTATCAATCCTGACACTTTCCGGGCAAGCCAATGGAAGAACGGTTGCAAATAAATACTAGATTGTTCTCCCAAAGAATCCCTTGCCTCAGGGTTTCTTCTTCTCCGCATGCCAAAAGCACACACATGGCTGTGGATCATGGCACCAGGATAGCAACCGGGCACGACCTACCTGGGAAGTCGGTCAGTCGCTACTGTACCTCGCCTGATGGGGCTCCAGGTGCCGACGTATCCCCCATATACACACGCTGGGGAAAGCATGAATACCCTCGTCCGCACGCTCGTCTCACGCCCAGGCACGCCCCTCGCACCAGCTTAGCACCGAAGCGCCATCCCTCTCGCCTGGGAGGTGAGAGAAGAGGATGGCTCTTGCGCGGCGTCGAAAACAGTTGCCGAGTTGAGAAGTTCTCGGTTCGGTGCCTTATTAAGATCCCGGTGGTAGATCCCTGCAGGCCAAGTTGAGCCTCTCCATTTCATATGCGAAACCGCCGCGGGTATCCTTTGAGGTCCCCTTACACTGCTGTAAGCGCATACCACTTGTATGATATGTTGCTAGGGATCAGTCCGGCTGGCGCAACTGTAAGCTGAATTTGACCTAGGGAAAGCCTACCAAGTACACCCCCTCTCAAACAGTTGTCCCTGGGATTTGAGGGTGTTGTTCCACGGAAACTATCCCATCTTGACAGTTTGTCTCATACCTGTTGGACTGTCAGACTCAACGCTCCCTACTGGAGCAATTGACCTGTTCTGATGGAGATCAAACACCTGAGACAGAGCCTGTTGACTACTACCGTTTGACGTGAGCATTTGCATGTACGTTGTTGCCAGACTCCACGTTTTCTCGGGGGGGTCCAGCTTCAAATCCATTGGATCGGCCCCACCCTCCCTACGTCCGGACGGGCCCCAACGAAGTGGACGAACGGGTCGAGCGAGTTCACCAGCGAACCGGGACGGGTCCGTCCGTCCGGGTGGGATGGGAATTCATGGTGTCCTCCGGGTCGAGTGGAGTGGAACTCGTGCTTCCCGGCCATGCACGTGGGCGGCTATGGATTCTTCTGGGAAAAGTGTAACGAGGTACTCATGGAGCCGCTAGTAGCGTCCTTGCTCATGCATGCTCGTTCGCTTCAGGAAGGATTGGGGAAGCCAAGTGCCAGGCATTCTTAGGAGAGAAGGACACCTGCAGGTTTCGCGAGCTCTGAATCCCTTCAGGTTTCGCTGGCAACAAGCGGGATTGTTACGTCCCCCAATAGCTCCAGCTGCTGGTCCTAGGGCCGCCCGCCAATTGCTTACGGGAACCCCGGGTCATCGCCCCATGAACAGTGCCCCTCGCCGACAGCGGAGAGCAGAGCTTCGACCCCCGTCGGCGCCTGGATCGATCCAGGTCGCGCTGAACACGTGTGGGCATCCCCTGGTCGTCGCGGTCGGACACGAGAGTCGAGGCCGTTCTCGGGTCGGGTCGTGGGAGTCGAGGTCGTGGGAAGAGGTGCGCCGTCGAGGTGCCTGAAAGGAAAGGGCCGGGCATCCAGATGGAGCAGAGAAGGATAGAGAAGGCGATGCAAGTACAGTAAATAGAAATATATAGAAGGGCTCCAAGACATGACTAACGGACGGCCCGAGAACTAGAGGGCCCCATGGTATGCTAGTATTTGTTCCTTATCCGTGGGGAGCTCCTTCACGATCGATCTGTTAGAGGCATCTCTCCCTCTCGGTGCCGCCCTTCAGCCCTTCAGCCACCGCCAGCGCCAGGCAGTGAGCCCCCACGTGCCTTCAAATAGGTCTGGTACGTGTTGAACACCTTAGACGAGGGATACCAGTCCCTGCAGTCCCTTGGGTCTCTTGGGACCGGTGACCAATGGTGTGCTCTCCACTTCATATTTCTGAGCCAATGGCTGGGCTCCAGCCAGAAGAACGAGAAACAAAGCACGAATGGCCCAGCCAAAGAAGGACATGCGCATCACTTTAGACCCCAAATTGGGAGTCATCCCCACCACGACTGTGGAGAGAGACTCCTGCTTTCAAGTCACGATGGGCAACTCGCCCTTGTTGTAAATCCTCAGGTATCAAGAACCGGCGGGATCTGTGGGTTACGACAGAATCACGGCTCTTCACCAAAACCTGTCAGCCGAGCTACCAGTACCTATACCTGGTCTGAGTCCTATGCAGCAAACCACAGTATCAGTAGACTTCCAGTTGCTTCTTGATGGGGATTCCTGGGGGGGGTGTTTGCTAAATCAGGCTAAATCAGGCACTGCGACACACACGCAGTAGAAGGGGGACAAAAAGAAACCTCGGTCACCTCGGTCACCTCGATCACCTCGGTCACCTCGGTCACCTCCCACCTCTGCATGAAGATCGTGATGTGGTCGATCGCCGGCTGGATGTCCGTCCACTCGGCGTCGATCCTCGGTTTTCACCACCGCCCCGAAGGCGGGTCGATCCACGCAGCGGCGGCGGCGGCGTCACGGTCCGAAGGGATGCGAGAAGCAAGGGGTCTCCAGAATCATTCCCGAAGAGTCCTGGTGACACCTGCGCAGCCGTGCTTAAACCTGATGCCCAAAGAAACCATGTGCTTCTAGCATCGGAGCGTATCGAGTGCATCGTGCAGAGAAGGCATGGAAGAACGAAGCACTCTGTTGGGTAGTCTAGGAGTTTACCAGGTAATCAGTGGGCAGCAACCGACGCGTAGACATTGCCTTCTCACTCAAGCCAAGCGTCATCACGCGCACGCCAAGCTCCTGAAAGGGCAAAAGCAAGCTACGCATGTAGTTACGCAGCTGCCCCCCCTGAAGTGGACTTGGCTATTCCAAACAGGAGCTCCAGTATCTCGCGTCTATATATATCATTCTATATCTAGCATCTATCAGTCCGCGGAATATCTCAAAGTCCGCCATTCCGGCCACACACATGTTTATTTCGAGGAGGCTTGGCTTGGAGACCCCAGAAAGCAGCTCCTGCGCAAGAAAGGTGCCAGTGGTTTAGACTTTCCTCCGTATTTGTCGCCTCTCCTGTGCCAGGTCCAGAATGCCCTGCACACGCTTCAGCATGTTTCCTTGAACGAATCGAAGAATGGACAGATCTGGAGGCCAGATTCCAAAGCTGGTAGGAGGTTTTGTCGCCCCCTGTCAGAAAGTGTCAAATACAATTTTCGCGTCCGACCATCCTTCAAACGCGCTGCGGTTGCTTGGCTTCAAACGCACTCTCCAGTTTCCACCAAAAGCACCGATGCCACCGATCCCATCTCTTTTGCTCCAGTAGAGCCCCCTGAACATCCCCGAACCACTCAAACGACCCAAAAGTCCTTCAAAACAGCCCCAGCACCCCTGAAGTCGATTGAGTCGATGTGTTTGAGTTCGATTTGAGTCGATTTTGAGTCCAGTCCCGCCATACCCTCTCTGCCTCCTTCCGGGCGAATCGGTTTGCAGCGCAAGATTCGATAGAGCTTCACCTCTTCTTCATTCAGCGCCGCTTGGAAGAGCCGGCCTGAATCTTGTGCAGCGCAAGGAAGAAAAAAAAGTTAGTTGAGGGTGGGGCATCCAGACTGAATCAGGGAGTGTCATGAGATCCAGGAGCAGGTTCAAAAATGCATGGATCGATTTTTGGAAGACCCCTGCTCCTTCATCCTTAAAAACACACCATTCGGAGAAACGGATTCCGATTTTCGGAATCCGACCTCTCCGGTGCGGCGCGGCGCATCCGGCACGCGGGTGTCTCGGTCGAGCGCGGCCTTGATGCTTGCAGCCACGGACCATCTCGTTGATTTCCGACAGCTTCACGCCCGAGGACCATTCCAGATAGCTGATGTATCTCAGCGGTGGAGACGGACGCGGAGACGGACGCGGTGGCGCTCGTCCTCCCAAGCTCCGAAGCGGTTCCACTGCTTTGTGAACGGAAGCAAGAAAAAGGCACGGGACATGTCTGGGTAAAGGGGGGGACTAACCATCTGGCCCTCACAAGGAATTTTGGCACCAAGATACTGTGGTTCAGATCGAGAGAGGCCTTGGCCCGTCAACCGATCTTTGAGTAAAGCCCTCCAGTTTGAAGGTCTCCAGGTAAAGGTGTTCAGATCGATGAGTTAACCTTTCAAACCTGGAGACCTTGGCCCCGTCTTTGGCGGAGCCACGAAACCCAGGTCACCCACGGAACGGATTTGGGGAGTGTTTTCTTCCAAGATTGGTGACCCATGTATCGAAAGGATCAACCAAACAAGCGAATGTCCTACCATGTCCCAAATGATACCAGGTATCGCTTCGTGAACGATCATCTTCCCTTCGTGAAAGGGAACCCCCATTCACTTCCCCCCACCCCCCCCGGCCGCTGAAGGGTGATCCGGAGCGAAGAGCCGGAGCCGGTGTCGACCGGTCGAGAGGACAGCCCGGGACCAAGAGACCCATCGTGGTTGTCGTCCATCGCATCAAACATGGCCTTCAGCTCGTCCTCGAAGGCACGGCACAGGCAAAGGCACAGCCACTTGGGACTTGTGGTCCACAAGAGCTCTGCTTGTATGGTGGCCTGTATTTCTTGCAAACCAGTTACAGTAACTACAAGCAAAAGGTGGCAGAAAGAAAACAACAACTCAGTCACTGGATTCATTTTTGCATAAGGTGTTTGCACTGGAAAATGCACCAGGTCACCAGGAATTGTGTGTGATTTTTACATCTGGTGGTGTAAGTTTGTTGATTTGTTGCAGGAGAGAAATCCACGGGAAACCTGAGAGAAGCCGGGTTGAGATGCTGTCGTGTCACCACTAGAAGAGACAAGCATCAGCAGCACGAGCCAACAAATGAACTCCAAATTATCTTCCGTTGTCTAAAGTCGGGTGGTATCTGCAACAAGCTTCTGATGAAGCTGCTACAAATTGACTCGACTTGATGAAATAACAACCCCTACCATTTCTTCCACTTGAGCACCTCCCTATCTGCATCCCGCTGCGCACCACACGCCAAACCAAAACCAAACCACACCCCCTTCCGCGCAAACGCGCACGCAGGCGCACAAACGGCGCACTCGTCGGTCGTGGACCTCTCCCCTCTCCTCGCTCTTGCCTTCAAACATCTTCAGCCAGCCCGTCTTGAAGGTTTCAAGGTCGATCTTGAAGGATCGATCGATCATCTCGGCGTGAGCGTCTAACGGAAACGCCCCGTCCAGTCGACGGGTGTTTGGACGACCCAAGAAAGGGACGCGTCTGGGGTGAGAGGGAGGATCAACGAACTGAGCGTTCGGTTCACCGAAGCAGGTGAACTGATGAAAACGGTGAGAGGGATCAACAGCTGTTCAGGCATTTCCACCGGCCTTTGCGGCCTCTTTCCGGCCTTCCGAGAGTGACGGACTCGAGAGTGAGTTCTCGGTGCTTCCATGCAACGCATCGACCAGCGAAAAAACTCGGTGTCCTTTCTTGAAATGCTCAGAAACATATGCTGCTACTGAGTGGAAACTTGCAACTCTTGGTTTCGGATTCTTGCATTGGCTTGCATTTACTTCGGACTCTCAACTGCGTGCCACGTACAAAAAGTTCAAAGCCACGCGAAGTGACCGATAAGCCGCAAGCCACAAAAGCCAAGAAAGCCTACAAACCGCAGTGGCAGGCCGCCAAACACGGCCAGAGAACTGTCCTGAAAGGATCAAACATTATTAATGGATGTTAGAAGAAAAAGAAAACGTCTTGGCAATCCAATAAGACTTGAGATGCACTCAGATGCACCCATTGGAAGATGGGTTCTGCAAGATCTCGGCTTCTCCATCTTTCTCTCCAGAAAAAAGAGCAGGATTTCATGGGTCACATCTCCAGTTGAGAACACCATGACCGGTCCCAGTCACGTAGTAGTTTTCGTTGGGGTTGATGTCCTCGTGAGCCAGTCTTTTGTACCTCGGCTCCCAGGGCCCGGGTACAGCGGTGGTGCAACCGAGTCCCACCGGTCGCGGGACCTCGTGGTCGACCACGAATGACCGTCAATGGCTGAGACCACGTGGGTCTTTTCCTCTTTGAGGGCAACCGAAACCCAGAAAAGGGTCGGGAGAAAAATTACTGTAGCTATAGATGTAGATGGCCAGTGGAAAACTACGCAATGGCTGGTCTTTTTCTAGGAACGTCGTCAGTAAGGCAGGGGAGACCGTGTGGGTGATGACACCCTGATTCCTGAAAACCGGAACTCCCATCAACTCCCAGCGATGCACTTTGCTACTAGTAGCTTCTTGTTTCTAGTAGTAATGCCCTTTGTTGCCCTTGTGGTCCTAGGTCCTAGGCTTCGAGGCACCCAGAGCAGTGAAAGAAAAGCGTCATTCACCGAAGGGACCGGTGCCTCTGAACACTGGAGCCTCCAAGATTCCTAGGAGCAAGGTTCGCTACGAACGGAACCAAGGGCATCGCGACTCGAAGAGCAAGCGTTCGGACGCGAACCGAACGGAGCGACGTTCAGTCGTGACGTGAAGATGGCGACCTCCAGTGGAGTGTTCTGGTGGTTCTCTGGCGGCCTCAGGCTTACTGCTGGACGTGTTCTGGGGATCACCAACCCGGTCGCCCTGGTGATGAGCTGATGATCAGTCCGAAGAAAATCACTCGTGGCCAAGGAGCAAACGGCAGACTTCTGCCAAGCAGGTCGACATCCTCTCGAGCAACACCGGATTCCTTAGTTGCACAGCTGCCATCAAGCTCATGTTGTTGCTGGTGCCAAAGCTCATGTTTCACTTCTTGACTGCAAGTGCCTGTTTCACCAACGGGTCACAGTCGATGTTTCACATGCAACACGGTGAAAAGCCCCCCCAAAGAGTTAGCCTTATGTGTCGCCAGCTAAGTGACCCCAAGCCCGACAGCTTGATTGCTGCAAAGCCATCCGGGATCGTGTCCTGACCAAGGAAGAAACTCTCAGGGATAAGAATTGGTGACCACTGGTCAGCAACTGATGGTTTCCCATTGATGAAATCAACCATTCCAGATCCAGATCATTTTGAGTTATATACACTAGAACCATCCAACCAAATTAGCCCAGCTGAAGACCCCAATAGCAAGATACAAACCGGGACAAAAAGAAAAATCTGGAAACAGCTGCTGTTTTCAACACATCGACCATCTCTTCCTTGGACACCATCATCACATAACCGGGACACCATCACAAAATGACCAGGGCACCATCAAAACATGACCGAGACACCGTCACAACGACCGGGACACCAGCATGACATGACGGGGACACCATCACAACATGACCGGGACACTATCACAACATGACCGGGACACGGTCACATGACCCGGACACCATCAAAACATAACCGGCACACCGCCAAAACATGACCAGGACACCATCACAACATGACCGGGACACCATCAAAACATGATCGGGACACCGTCACAACATGAGCGAGACACCATCACAACATGACTGGACACCGTCACAACATGACTGGGACACAATCACAACATGACCGGGACACCATCACAAGGTGACCGGGACACCAACATGACATGACGGGAAAACCATCACAAGATGACCAGGACACCATCACAACATGACCGGGACACCGTCACATGACCCGGACACCATCAAAACATAACCGGCACACCGCCAAAACATGACCAGGACACCATCACAACAGGACCGGGACACCATCAAAACATGACCGGGACACCGGCACAACACGACCGGGACGCCATCAAAACATGACCGGGACACCATCACAACATGACCGGGACACCATCAAAACATGACCGGGACACCATCAAAACAGGACCGGGACACCATCACAACATGACTGGGACACAATCAAAACATGATCGGGACACCATCACAACATGACCGCGCCACCATCACATGATCGGGACACCATCAAAACATGACCGGGACACCGTCACAACACGACCGGGACACCATCAAAACATGCCCGGGACACCATCACAACATGACCGGACACATCACAACATGACCGGGACACCTTCAAAACATGACCGGGACACCATCACAACATGATTGGGTCACAATCAAAACATGATCGGGACACCATCAAAACATGACCGGGACACCAGCATCACATGACCCGGACGCCATCAAAACATGACCGGGACACCATCCGCCCACCAGCTCTGACGGTGACCCGACGGCGCCCGTCCGCCTATTAGTTTTGCAAGACCCCATAGCATGGCTATTGGGGAACAAGTGATCCAGAAAAAGGAAAAAAATGGAATAAGACAAAACAAGCCATGACCAAAACTGGGTGCTTGGTCATGGTTGCGCCCAGATGTGTCTTGGTCATGGCTTCTTATGGATCATCTGGGTTGGACCTCCGTCTTAGCTTGCTCGTCCCTATCGGGTCCTTGACCCCGCGCACGGCCACCCGGAAGATCTGTGCCCTCGCATCGCAGAGCGCCTGAGAGGAATTCCCGGGTCCCAAAGAAGGGCGGGCCTTTGAGAAACTGAGCCAAATCAAACCAAATCAACGATCCTGAGATGAATTCCATCTGGAATCATCTGAAAGATGCTTCAAGATCCTGAAATCATCTTGAATTCATCTATATGAAACCTACCAAAAGATCGGGATGAGTCGTTTCATTCTGGGTGCGAGTGCTTCGAGGGGTACCAACTTCTAATCCCCCAACAGGCAAATCAGCCGCAGCGAAGCATGTACTGATTCATTGTGAGCCAAAACTGCCAGCAGACTTTACGGTTGAATTCAACTGCCACCCAGCCTGACCGATGAATTCATATGAATCAGGTTTTTCACTGGCCCCTCTTGCGGTACCCACCCGCCTCGCTCTCGTAGTCGTAGCTTCGGCTGCTCAACGGTGCTCCCACCGTCTCCTGACGCACTTCGGCTCGGGCGGAGCGATTGCGGCGGCTCGGGACCCTGAGAAATCGTTCACTTCGCCCTCAAAAGACGGTGAATTTGTTCGGAGAAGGGCACTCCTGCTGTCCACCTCATGATGAAGACCATCTTCATGGACCCATCTCACTTTGGTGGGCCTGTCTGAGCTTGAAAAAAGGATCCCACGGCGACATCTCCATCAAGAGGCCCTGCCCTCCGTCCTCCTCGTCGATGGGCTTCACCGTCTCCGGCAGTTCACCGTCCTTGGCTTCCGCCGCGTAGTCCAGAATGCCCCCGACCTCGCTGGTCTCCGAACGGTCTCCGAACGGTCTGATTAAAGCCACTCTCACAGCATCCAAAAAGCCACGTGCTTACAGTGGCGTAAGGACGTAAGGGTAGGCCTTCTTGATCTCAGACACACCGGAAATCACAGCTGCATAACTGGTAGCTAGACCGTGGGGACGCAAAACATTCTCCCCAGGGGAAGATCAGAGTTCCCAGATAAAAGTACGCTTGCTTGGCCACAGAGTTACGGAGTGCTCAGTTGAACTCAGCTCAGCACGTTGTATTTCTGCAACTCTCTCATCTTGGGCAAAATGTCCTAGTCAGGGCTTGTCCATCATGGTGCTTTCCAGTCTCTCCTCACCTCTTCCTCTCAGTTTCAGCCACTTTGCAACTATATCTGTGGCTAGGAGCTGGTCAGGGCTTGCATGTGCTGTCCTGACTACTTTCCCCAGCGCAGAAGTGCTCAAAGAAGGTCTTCCTCAAAAGAAGATGTGTGAGCCTGCAACAGGATTGCCACTGATCACTTGAAGTCATAAAAAAATATTCGATGCTGATTGACAAAATTCAGTACTAATCCATCTTCTACGCTTCAAGGAGTCAATCAAAGAACACCCGAGAGCACAGCATCAGTGCTGTGCTGTTCGGGCCTGGGACCCAGAACCTTCACAGAGTACATGTACAAGGTGTCGCAGTGTCGGACGATCGGCCCAATGGCGCAGATCTGGAAAACGCACCACGCACGGAAGAGCTCCCCTCAGCAAATGGTTGGTTGGAGACAGAGGAACAGGGCGATGCTGGCGGCAGCATTGGAAAGGTGTGAAAAAAACAGTTCTTGATCTGCGGAAGGTGCCGGAGACCAAGACTTCCTTGTAAGTGGCCAGGTGCTGTGGAAGTCGAAACTCCTTTTCATGGCTTTTCTACACTCCATGAATGAACTAGCACATCCTGGTGCTAGGGCTGCTTTAGTCCAAGCGAGGCATGTGTTTGCATGTGAGGTCTCAATTCTCACCATGCTTACCTCTAGTTGCAGCAACCAAACAGCTGACTCATCTATTGCTTCTGATCCAACCCCCTTCCTGGTCTTCTCCTGCCCTTGCCCACCGTTCAAACACCCTCACGACCCGAGGCACATCGACTTTTGGCTTCGAACGCGAGCGCCGCATTCGTGAAGTCCTTCTCCGCCGCGCAGGCGCTCGGCTTCGGCGCGGCGGAGTTCGGCGCGGAGCTTTGGCCACCGGTACCTCTGGTCGAGGACCAGGCCAAAAGGACTGGCGGAAGAGTTGGACCCAGATCCAGCGCCTGGGTCTAGGTAGCGCATTGTCCGGGCCTCTTCCGCTGGTCTGCCCTAGACCACCGGTCTGAAAAGGTCGTTTTGAGGCATTTCTACCCTCAAAAAATACAAGAAACACTTGTCCGGCCTGTAAACCACAGGGCATGATCAAGCAAGTGATCGCTTTTTGCAGGTGTTTGCCACCCCGCTCTTTCCTAAATTGGTCCTTGTACGTTTTGGCCGTTGCTCATGCCATCTGCCATGGGGAAAGGAAGACCTTCTATCTGCACATGGGGAGGAAGGTCGATCACGCACCCGATCGATCGGTACTGGACCGGTATATAGGGCCATATAGGGCCAATCATGGCCAAGCCCTGCCATATAGGGAGCCTGGTGCTGGGAGAAGACGCGTTTCTCTCAGGTGCCGGAGGAGCCCCCAAGTTCAGGACAACCACCGCGTGCGGCGTGTTGGAGGGCCTCATGTGATTGGCATGTAGCTCTTTGAAGGTATAGGGCGGGGTTGTCGTTCTTTGAGGAGGGGGTGCCTGTTCTTCTTCACTCAAGCTCTACAGTTGAACAGTTGGTGGCCCCCCATTCCACCCCAGTCCCGCCTGTTTGCCCCGTGGCCGCCACCGCGAAGCACCGCGCCGGTATGGCTGCGAGGTGTCCCCGGTGCCACGCTCCAACGATGACCTGCCAGCGAATTCTCGCCGCTCCCACCGCGCAAAGCTCCGCCAGCCTCGCGCGAGCCCTCGCCTCGAGGACGCGCCGCTCGCGGTCGCGAGCGCTCGACGCGCCGCTCGACGCGCCACACCTTGGAGTAGCGCCCGGTGCGCTGCCAGGGCACCACGCGTCGCAGCATGGGCACCGCGCAGCGAGGGGCTGCTGTCCGCGGGGAAAGGAAAATACACCGAAGCACGGTCGGGTCAGTTCGGGTCGTTCGGGCGGTCTGGGCCAACGAAAGGGAAGGACCGGAATGTTCAGAGACTGTCGATCTGACCGGGCTGGGCTTGGGGCACTCTGCGAGCTGTGAAGCATCTTGAGCAAAGCAGGCTAGCCAGGCGATGCGCTGGATGATCAGGGGAACATGATGTTCAACCTCTGGGGTGAACGTGCCAAAAGAAAATGCAAACGTCGGGAGAAAAAGGATCAATGGTTTGGTGGGTCTGTCCCATGGCAACACAAACCTGTACGTGACTCTTAGTTTGAGGCGTTGCTTCCCCGGTTCATCGATGTTGGGCAAAGGTACAACCAACCAACCAACCAACCAACCAAGCTTCATCCACACCTCACAAAATAGGGAGGTTACTCTACCACGATCTTCTGATAAATGTTTGGACAAAGGCGCATGCTGCCACAGCGGCGACTGCCACGCGTTCTTTTCACCTCCGACCATGGCACTCCTCCCGCCGCCGATCCCTCCGAGCGTACCGCCCGCGCGATCCTCGCCTCGTGACCGGATGGACCTTCACCTCGAAGGTGGACCTTATAACATGAAGGTGCGAAACGCGGTGCGAAAGCTTCGCGGTGCAAAACGCCCAGGTGGCGCAGTGACTGCAGTGACTGAGAAGTGAGAGGAAGGGCTTCAAGTGTTTCAATCCTCAAAGTCTCAACACAGCAAGTCTTTGCTTCCAACTCTTTGAGCCACACCCACATCTGAGGTCACTGCATGGCAAGAAATGCCAACGAAGTAGAGGCACTGCCGGCTTGCTTCCCCACAAAAAGCCTGTCATGTTTTGATTAAGCTACCCTACTTCTAGATTCCGATCCCCAACCTTGTCTTCAGAAACGCTCCATCAAGTCCACCATATGGGAAAAAAAAAAGCGTGCCATGATGAAAAATGGCCCATGAGACAAAAGTCGATGCTCTCATTTCCATGGTGGACCATGGCTGGAAGGATAAGCGTGCTGGGCATGTGACCAATGCTAAATGCAACAAGTGCTTTGAGCCCGGAAAAACTGCGAGATGTTCAAGCCATGAACATCCCTATCGATCCAGGATCCAAAAGTCCTGGAGAGCGCAACAGCAGCTTGATGCGTGTTCAAAAGCCTGGCATCTGCCTCTATGCTAAGGCAATGCCTGAAGAAGCAGCAATGGACTAGAGACTGCTTGTAGAATCTAAGGCTCCACGGCCTAGAGCCAGTTGACTTGTTGCGTGACAAACTCCAAGTTAAAACTGTGATCTATGCAATCCAGCAATCAGTCGTTAGTCCCGGCCACACCAAACATGCATCCCTTCTTCGTAGTTTGGGTCTTTATGCGTGGATCCGAGTCTCTCTTCAGACGGTTGAACCTTGTACTGAACAGGAACAGGGCCAGATTCTTCAGACGTCTTTTTTGCCCAAAAACGGCATCATCCTTCAAGGATGTAACATCGAACACACATCATCCAACAATACGTCAACCTGTTGGCCTGTCGAAGGCCCCCCTTGGCACCGGTGTCGAACCCCCGCCACTCCTCGCATCCCAGTGGACACCGTTCTTCTCGCTGGCGTTCGCCGAACGGGAAAAGAGTCATTACCCAGCTGCGCAGCATGGCGAATGGGCGTTTTGGTGGCGGAACTCTCAACAAAGCCCTCGATGTTGTTGCCACCTCGTCTAGGTGTAGGTGAACACATCCTGTTGGTCACCTACATCACCTACGGTATCTGGTAGGAGGGGTTATAAATCAACAGCCAACATGAAGAACATGAAGTGGATCACAGCGAACCTCCTCTTCGCTGTCACCGGTAGTTGGACATGTACACTGCGACTCACCAACATGGAAGTGGTTTCCCCCCTGTTCGTCAAGGAGTACGACCCTGCCATCCACTTCCATGTGATGTGTTCGTCAGAGTGTACCTCTTGCATTCACATCCAGCCGCCAGCTGCCGCCAGCTGCAAGGCACTGCCAGGAATCGAACTAAGGTGGTGCGCCGGCTCCACCCGAGAGCTCAGAAAGCCGGAAAGAAGATAAATCGAGGTCTGCGGCACCTTGCAAGACCAACTGGCAACATCATCCCCAACCCCGTGTGGCGACGTAGTTACACACGGTACCAACAACAGAAGCAAACGAGCATCCATTGAAAGTGAAAGACCAAAACCAAAAAACTGCCATACTCATCGAAAGTCCCAGCCCCAAAATCCAAAAACAGGCCTCATCTGGGAAGAGGTATCCCTTCGCACCACATGGACTGGCACAGTGTGTTGCGGTCCAAAACTGCTTCCAACCGAGCCACGTTATCTTGGGGATTCCATCGACAGTGGTGCTTCCAAATGCTTCCGGCTTTCGAGAACGACGACATGAGGTGCACACACGAGTCGTCTCAATATGTCTCCATCTCTTAGTCCATCTACCTCAACACACACCACGCGACGACGCGACGCCTGCCCTTCCGTCCGCGCCGTCCGCGGCCTCGCTGAGCCCGTCAGGCACGTCGGGCCCTACGGAGGCCACAGCCCTGGAGCTCGCAGCAGCTTAGCGGCGTTTCCATGTTCCCAACTACAACTGCCAACCCCAAACATGCCCACTGGCCCCAAACATGGGCCCAAATGAAATGTAGAATTAAATATGGTCTGCAAAGCAAGTGGTTGGGATATGTTGGGATTGGAGAAATCTTGATTTGCACAAAGTTTGACCCAAAAGGTGTCCTGGTGATGGATCTTGACAGAATGGTTCACTGGTGATGAATCTTTTACATGCACTTGTGTCAAGAGCCATGAGGCACTCAGCTTTCCAGGGGGTCAGGTTCACCAACCAAGTGAATCTCTCAACCACCCATCTTCCACCTCAAGCCCTGGCTCCACATGCACACTACTTTCAGGTGAACCATAGAGGAGCACAGGGTGCCAAGCAAATGGAGATCGACAGGTATTGTATGGCATTTGAATCCTGTCTACCCCTTTGTAACGTGCCAACAGGAGGTGGTCCATACCCCAGTTACTCTTGGAGTACTCTTGGAAACTCTTGTACGATGGGGTTCGTGGAAACGCTCCAAAAGAGCTGATCTAGCTAGCTGCTACCCACAGCTGGCAGGAACCACTAAGGGCCCACGCAGAAAATGGTTGTTTGCAGTCAGACATCGTCTACGCACAAGCTCGGTCTCTACAATCAGTCTTTAGGTGGAAAATATCTGAATGCGATGCTGATGCTGGAAGATTGGCCCCCAAAAAAAAACTTGTTTGAAGCCAATTTGTGCGCTCCCACCATATCCCACCCCCTCTTTGCAGTTGGAGATCCCCTTGAAATGCGGCCCATGTGGCTGGCAGACCACGCTGCCGCTGTGGGATCTGCTCGGGCCTCGGGGTCCATGCAGGGGTCCATCCTCGCACTGAAGCTGCACGACCCCAATGGGATTGGGCTTGCACCAAGGCTGGTTGGAAAATGATCGAGAAAACATCCAGAAGACACCCCTAGATATGAATG